ATCGAAGAAGGAACAAACAACACGTAATTGGTTGTTTAATCTTACATTCTGTACCCACAGTAAACACACTTAATGAGCTGAGCAGAGATTCAGAGGGAGGACATGCAGTACCAGTGTAAACACATTATTCATGAACGCAGATAAGCCTGTTGGGGAGAACAGACAGCATCATTGCTTCTCACTGAACACACATGTTGGAGTTAACTACTCTCTCAGTCTGAGATGTGTTGCACCTTGGAAGCATTACAACACTACACACACACACATGCTGGACTGTGTGGATTTAACTGTGCTGCTGTGACACGTAGTACACCTCTCTCTCTCTCTCTCTCTCTCTGTTCCTGTCTCCTTCTTTCATTATCTCCATTTCTCTCTCACAGATACACACACAGATACACCCTCCATTGCAGGCACTTCTACCACTGCAGATCATCATGCTTCACCTTTTCTGTCTCTTCTGATGTTCTTTCCCCGCTCCTTGCTCCTGCTGGTCTGGCTCTTTGTGTGATTTATACTTTCTTTCCCTTCTTTTCTGTAAACAGTCTTCCCACTCTCTCTCTACTCCCTCACTTTCTTGCTCTCTCTGTTACTCTCTGTCTCCTTCTCCCTGAATTCCTATTCCAAAGACATACATTATCAGAGGGTGTGGTGATCGATTTGCTTTATCCTGCTTTTCCCTCCAACTTTATCCATCAAGGATTTTCCTTTTATCTCCCTCCATTAGCATTTCCATAAAGGCAAGAACATCCCCTCTCTTCCTTTGACTGTATATGCCTCTATACGGCCCCTTGCCTCAGCTTTTACTTTCCTGTCTTTCCCTTTTTAATTTTTTTAGTTAATGTGAATTGATCCTCACTTCTTCATTACCATCTTCCCACAGCCTTTCACTGCAGACACCTTGCCTTTGCTCAGTAAGGTAGAAACGCTGATATATCCAAGGATACAGGGGTTGTTATACCACTGATTTCATGTATGCAAGAATTTCCACCAGTTTCTTCATTCAAATTAGGAGCAAGTGTAATGTGGCATGTGTCAGAATTGACACATTCACCCAGCAAAGATCAGACCACAAACATTTATCAGCAAAAAAGGAGCAAACATAATTCTTTACCTTCAGATAAAGTATGTATTTCTAGCTTAAACACTTTTTGAAACTTTGGCCCAGAACCCAAGATAGCTTCTGCACTGTAGCTGCACTCAGAGATGAAAGACGTGATGACACATTTTATTCTAGGAATTCAAAGTTGATTATTTTCATCCTTGAAGTTCCTGGCCAGAATGGTTTAAATACTTTCTCTATTCTCTATCCATCTTCTCTATTTTTCTTTGTCTTCTCCTCCCTTCTGTCAACCTCTACTCCATCTGTACTCTCTTTGGCTTCCAACAAGGCTTCCTGATCCTTTTCTCTCCCTTTAGTCTCATTAAATATCTCATGATGGGTCGTGAACTATTAAACACCAGAGAGAGAAGGAGAAGAGACTTGTCTCAGGCTTGTGTTCAAAATAAGCAGGAGATGAGGGTGGGGCAGGTCTATAGGGTCTCATTTTTTTGTTTTGTAACAGTAGTGGAAATCAGAAGCAGTGCCAGTTCATTCTATTACCGAAAGGAAGCGGAGGTACAGAAAGTGAAAGAAGAGATGAAGAGATTTACGTTAATCTCTAAAATAAACCAGAATACCAGTGGATTTCAGAGCAGCAGACAGGCTTGAAAAAAGTGACATTGCATTTAAAATGCAGGCCCACTTTTCCATCCAGGAGATCAGTGCCACGACTTCTCATCCGGACAGACACACCGAGGCCCTCAGGTTACATGCTCAGTGTTGTCAGCCATTGCGACTATGCTGTCTTTTGAATTTAGTGAACTTTGCCTCCACCTAGTGGTCACTGAGTTCTGTTTGAAAAATGGATTTGGAAAACAGCATAATTAATATGGTGATGTGTTAAAATGATGAGGTTGTAGCATCCACAGTAGGTAAGTGCCAAAATTAAAGAATAATATATGGAATATGAGTGTTGATCTGTCATTTTTAAGCAAGAGATATCAAAGTAATAAGCAAGTTTTATTCGAACCATGTGAATTGGAATTTTGAAGCCAGTTTGTTAAACAGCACTTGTTAAATTTTTTTCAGTCACAGTCAGTCTGATCCACCTTTTATCCAAATACTGATAACTGTTCATCTGTAGAGGGCCTGATGTTGGGAACGGAGATTGACCTGCAGCAGGTGGAAAACACTGTGTTTGCCATGGAGACAGTGTTGAAGATGTGGCTTCAAGAGCAGGGAGGAGACAGAGAGCACCTCCACCTGCTGCTGCCCAGCCCTCTGGACAGTCCCATTCCAGGTTGGGTGCTGTACTCTTTCACACACACACACACACACATTTCCTATAGTCTTTTTGTTTTGGAGAATTGGTGAATTGCTTGAATTAATGCAGAAAGGATGAAATAAAGAAATGACTTGTTATAGCTGTTATTCTTTTATGTATAATGTTGAATGTTATTCTGGTAATGGTTCTGGTGTTTGTCAACTCCATAGTGTGTGTGAAGTGTGACATGCAGGAGCGCCTGATAAGCCCAGCACTCATTCCTCTGACCCCCATCCTGGGAGTAAAGACCGAGAGCATCCGGGACTTCCTGCCTGTCACTAAGGGCTCAGCTATTCACAGCCTACAACCACAGAGACTAAGAGCAATTAAGTAAGAGAGTGGGCTGCAAGGGTGGTAGCTTTTATTACTTTTAACTGACCTACATTTTGACTTTTGCTGACATGTAATTTTTGTTGTTGTTCTGTTTTCACACAACCACATAACCTCTCAAAAGTGACTTAATTAATTAAACTACAGACTATTAAAAGGCAAGGAAATGCATTGCAAAGTAAATGACATGAAAGAGAGTATTGATCATTTTTCATCTTGTGAATGTGTTCAAATGTAACCATTTTGTTTTGTATTTGATAAATACTCTTATAAATAGTCCTGTATTTGTTTCTCAAAAAATCACCAAAATCTGTGATAGAAACAACAAACACAATCTATGACAACGGACCAGATGGACATATTTTTTTCTGAACACAAAGATATTATATCTGTCTTCACGGTATTTCAAATAAGATCCATCTATCCTTCCTTGTTTTTTGGGTATGTGTATGCACCATTGTGTGTACTGTATTCAGTAAAACCCTGTCTGTCTGTGAATGACTTCATTCTGATTGCAGGGAGCTGTAGAATATTTTTTAGAAATAATTCTCCACTCACATCAGAATCTGCTTTGTTTTGTTTTTTGGTCGATACTCAAAATAGCTGCAGCTGGGCAGAAAATTAGCTCCATGCCTGAAAGCTCTAGTTCACAACTTAACTTGTTTATGGGGAGTTTTATTTTCTCACTATAGTAGAAACTCAAGAGACAAGGTTAACCTCAGTAAATGGGGGAAGGGCAGTGATACAACACAAGCTAATTGTTAACAACATAGACTACAAAGAATAGTGAAAATGTTAAATTCAGTTTTATTTATAAGCTCATTCTACTTCTGCTGGCCACTCACAGCCAAAGCATGTGCTAAGAGAGACAAGTGTTTTACAAACTCATCTCAAATTCTTTGCACTACACTGGAAGAAAAAACTTTTTTTTATCATACCACGCTGATAAAGTAGGAAGCACATCACACCAAACATGCAAGGTTGAAAGGGATGCAGCAAACTATTACACTAAGCACTTTTGCCTTTTGACCAGACAAGAAACTAGATTCCAAACAGTACATCATTTTGGGTCCACTGTTACTTTAAACCTGAGAAGTGATAACTTAACCAGGCTCTCAGTACACGTTCACTGAAGTATTTTGAACCATGGTAAATATAATCAAATATTTTACAATCCCAAAGCCATGTGACCTTATTTCTAGCTGAACCAAAATTACAATAAGCAGGATGATTGTGCTGTCTTTGTGAACACATTTTCATGTGTCTTACACTGGCACTTCTTTTGAATGAGTGATTTCAGCTTTTAACCACACATGCACTAGTGGTTGATCTGCAGCAGACTGGCCTATTCTGGTGTTGTTCAAAAGTTGATGCTGTTTCCTCCAAAATGCACACACACACACACACACACAAAACACACACGTACTAGACTACTGATGATAGAAGGAAGCTCTTTAAGCCTGTGTGAGTGACTACTGATGATGGAAGGAAGCTCTTTAAGCCTGTGTGAGTTTGTGTGTGTGCTTTGCATAGTGATGACTCATGATTTACAAAATTCACTTCAGCAGGGATGATGTCATTCTATGTTTCACTGTTATGTGTTTGCATGTTGTTCTCCTGAAGAATACATCTGGATCTGTGAGAAGATGGATGTGGTTTTCTTTGACAAACTTTTTTTTACACAACTGTTTTCAGTAATGAAGTCATGACATTCTTTTTTTAAACTGAAGACACATCGGCCCTTATTCTGCATCTTAACCAAAGTTGTGTGCTTGTGTATGTGCGTCGCAGGGTTCTCCATGCCGACGGAGTGTGTGAGAGTGTATTGTATGGCCTGCCGCTGGTGATCCGCCCCACAACCTGCTGGCAGCTGGACTGGGATGAAATGGAGTCCAATCACAACCTGTTCCATGCTCTGTGCCACACACTCAGGGTGTGTGAATGTGTTTACTGTTTTTTGAGCTTGTGAGAATCACCTTTACAGTTTACACGTTAGATTTTAGTAACAGAAACGATCAAAAATAATCCTCTTTAGATCACATTGTAACAAGTAGACTTTTTCCAGTCTACCTGTCGCTGTTACAGCTGCATATATTACAGAACATGTTTATGCCTGTATTAATGAAAACTAGGTTCCCTTTTACCTTTTAACCAGAGTATTAGTTATAGTTCTGTTAATGGTGGAATAGACCAATCATATCGGATTGTTTACTGTAAAACATTTGTTACAGAACATACAGTATCTGAATCATTTAGTAAATGATAGAAATAACAATGAAGTCACTTTGAGCTTTATGCTGTTTTTCTCTTTTTCAGAGTCGTGACTTATTCCTGTTGCTACAAGTAGAACCCATCCAGAGGCCAACAGCTGGAGGCTTAGGTCCATATGTGTGATTGTGTGTTGGTGCCAATGTGTGTGTGTGAGAGAGAGAAAGCAAGAGAGTAATGTTATGAGTTTAGGAATCCTTTTACAGTATGTGGACTCATACACCGTGTGTTTGTGTATCAATGCAGGTGTGTGTTCTCACTATGTCCTCCAGCCGTCCCAGTCTCTCTCCCTACTCCTGAAGCCTGTGAGCTCCAGAGAGTTGCTGCTGCCCTGCTCACTGCCTGTCTCAACTCAGGACCCTTCACCTGACGCCATGCAGATTTTACAGGTTAGGTCACCTTATTGTGCACAAAGAAAATCAGCACAGAGGTAAACAGGGGTTTCCACTCAAAGGCAGAACTAGACAATTCTGAATCACCTTTGTCACACTGATTCTAGGAACTCCATACACACAGCTGATGCAAAGTTCACATCTGTAAAACGATTTGTTATCTTTGTTGAGCTGCAAACGTTCCCAGTGAGGTGAATCTTTCTTCCCCCACAGTAAAATGGTCAATCCTAAAACAACGTCTAATAAAAGATGAAACAGAACAAAATCTGACAACTGTAGATTTTAAAAGACGCATAGATGAATGAGGATGTTTTAGAATGTGATCTCTGGTTCATGGAACCAGGATTTAATCTATCTGAATTAAAGTTAGGCTTATTTATGGTGTTTTTCACCAACACATGCAGTTAGGAACAATGATTAATCACAGTACACATCATATTCAAATATGTACTCAGGGTGTGAGAATAACCAGGAATTTTAATAGACAACACTAGACAGCGTGAAAAGTTATAATGTTATTGTTTGCTATTTATTATTGCAGATATCACATGGCTATAATGGCCAGAAGCAGAAAAGAAGCACCTCTTAATTTCAGCCACTCACTCAAAAATAATAGCAATAATTGTTTAGCCTTATTATGATTTTTAGAATGATTTCAGTTTTAAGAACTAAATAGTTATTTATATTATGTATCATGTAATTTGTTGACAGGATGCTCTTATGATTCAGTGTTTACATGAGCAGGTGCTTTGTAGTGTCATAGATCTTTATCACTCCCTCACTATCGCTTCCGTTACCTCAGAGTAGACACATACAGACACATACATATATTCATATATTGTCAAACAGCAATCAACAGCAGTATTTTTTGGTCTCTGTCAGGGTTGTCTGACCCAGCTGGCAGAGGAGTTTGTACTCAACCCCCTCTCTCTGAGCAGTAACCTCTACCAGCAGCTCAGGAGCAGAGGCCTGTTTTCACAACCACGATTCCCATACAGGTTAGCACCATCAAGTATCAGGTTGGTGAGGAGGGGTGTGGGATAATACAAATGTGTGTAGCCTTTATGGTAATTTTACAAGAGTGGACTATGCTCATTGTAATGATGATGATCAGGTTGAAGCTGTGGTCAGTGATGTAAGAAACGGTGAAAAGTAACGGAGCACGGTGATTATGATGACGACTGTGATGATAATACAGATGGCGGTTTTGTAACAGATGAGGATGACAGTATGATGACTGTGATAATACTACATTAAATATATAGGTGATAAAGATGCTATAGTAATTAAAAGACCATGATGATGATGACAGTGGTTGATTCCAGGCTGCAGCCAGCAGCTGCCCAAAGAGACCAGGCTCAACCACCAGAGGGACCTAAAACCACAGCCAGCAGACAGCCTCGGCAGGTAAACACCACAGCTTTATGACAGTCTAAGGGTCACTCTCTCCTGCTCATATATATGAGCACAGTGATTATAAGGTGATACCACAGGTATGCAGCACAAACACAACACAAAGCAGGAAGAAAATGTATGTAAATATCAGTGAGTGCTTCTCAGTTCCTTACTCACTAGATGAGAGCACTAACTACATCCTGAGATCCACAGTCACCAACTTGCATCTAATGTAAAAGTTTAACTTGTCTTCTAGAGAGGTGGTTCAGCATATTATATGTCACAAAATAAAAAGATAATATAGTTTTCATGCAGCTCAAGATAAACATTTCAGTCTTTTAAAATGCTTCTAAACGCCACAATACCCCGAGCAGTATCTCTGTGTGTCCTCTGGGACTTGTTTAGATAAGCAGACCTGGAAGAAGTATTCAGATTCTTAAGTAAAATTATTAATACCACAGTGTAAAATACTCAGCTAAACATAAAAGCCTTGCATTTACAATCCCACATAAGTAGTAATCTGTTAAATTTACCCAAAGTATTAAAAGTAAAAGTACTAATTTTGAAAAAAAAAGCGGTAGCGCTAGGTTTAAAAACTTTATATACAGTTAAGGGGGTTAGTGCAGTGGTTCCCAGCTTAGGAGTTGGGCCCTTCCAAAGAATCGCAAGATAAATCTGAAGATCTGAAAATGAAAAACAAAGTTCTGCTGCCCATATTTGTATTCATTTCTTGGACTGAATGGTTATTTAAATGAATCCATGTGAGAAGTTTGGATGGGAACAGCTAACAACTCATAGATCTCTGAAAAGTGACAAGGGGCCAGACACTGATGTTATAAAAGAGTTCATGAGCTGGAAAGGTTCAAAACAAGTGGTTAACCTTTAACTGTTCTGCATTTTATAAGGTCATCGTGTTTTTTGGGTAAAAATCTTAACCTGCAAAGTAACTAGAAAATAAAAACAAAGCTGTCAAATAAATAACAGTAGAGTAAAGGTGAGTTATAGTGCAGTAGAAGTAAAAAAGTAGCATAAGATGTAAATATAAATAAGTATCAGTACCTCAGCAATGTACTGGGGAACAGTTAGGTACATTCCTCACTGATTATAAAGAGTAATCATGGCTAGATTTAAGAATGCAGATGAAAAATCAAAATCACTTTAAATAGTATTTAGCTTTCATAATGAGTCATAAACACTGATAAAACTAGCTGACATGGCAGTACTGGGGTACTTTCTGTTCTTCTAAGGTTTTTTGAAACACAGCACAGAAGATTCATGTCAGAGGTTTAGACCAGTTTGCATTTGTTACATAATGCTTTGCTAGCATTCTTGATATAACAATTCAAGTAATGTCAGGATTTAAAATCTTTAGATCCTAAAATATTTCACAACTTATTTTCATGCACATAGTCATTTTGTTAGAGTAAGCATCCATTTTTGCAGGTGGTAGACGTCTTCTTTAGAAAGATCTTAACGTTTCAGCTTCAGGTGTAGTTCAGTGAAGCCTACTATGTCCTGAGAGCGTATAGCTGTTGGCAGTGTGACTCATCTGGGTTGATAAGGCTGCTGACATGCAAATAGTTCACAAAAGGTCTTTCATCTGCTCTGCTTTAGTTCTGTTCTGTTCTCTGACACACTGTCTCTCGATCAACTGTTGAAGCTCTGCATGTTTGTATTTGCGTGTACAAACACTAGGTCTATTAATGTCTTCTTCTTTCTTTTCTCTGTGATATTTTATCTTCCTTTTGTGCCACCTCCTTCGGCGCCTCCTCCCCCTTCTCTTGTATTTCAGTTTTTTTTTCTTGTCTCTCTTATGAGTCAAGTGTACCGTAAACTCAGACTCCTCTTCTCTACTGTATTATTCAATTCAAGTAGCAAATTTCTTTTATTGTTTAAATGACATTCAAAGTAGCATTAAATATAAATGTACTTGATTTTGAAATATAAAGAGTGTATGTTGTCTCCTTTTAACCACAAAACCAGGGTCGCCAAGTGGGAACAAACAGCAAGGTCAGGGCCACTGTAGCTCCCCTGCCCTCTTCCTCCACCTCTTTCTCAGCCATGAGACCTCCTCCTGCTAAAGCAACCCGTCTGGCTCTGACGATCCTCAGCAACAGCAGGGGAAGCCGGGCCCTGGCTCCTTCTCAACAGGAGGTGGGCGATGATGATGACTCCATGGTAATACAGTAAGAAAACTGTTGGGGGAGTGGAAGAAAGTGGGCCTAGAGAGCAGTACAGTAACCAGGGAGAGAGAGAAGCATTTACACCCTGGGTGGTTACCCCTTCTTTTCATCTGTCTTTATTCTCACCACAATATTAGCTAGATGTGAATTTCAGAAGCCCTTGTATGTGTGTGTGTGAGAAAGGAAAGTTTCAACTCACTGCCATCCCTAGATTGCTGAGGCAGCAATACTTCAAAATCACACACCAGTAACAATAGAAAGTGGGAGAAAATATGAAAAGAGGGGACAATGGAAGCCTGGAAGAGTCATGGAAAGTAATATGAATTACCAAAAAAGAACAAAATGTGGGTGGCGTGGGAGATCAGAGGGAGTAAAAGCTGATGAATGTTTGAAAATTGTTGTTTGCATGTGACAGCACACCTACTGACACATGTTAACACACAGTTTAACACAAAAAAGCAGGAAACAGAAAGAGACTGGTTACAAAAATACAACAAAGCAGACTTACTGCAGCAGTAGTATACAGTGACTTACTGTATAGACAAACACACATATGCACATTCCTTTTCCATCTTGCCCTAAAGCCGTCTGAACACAGCTTCACTGTTTTAATGAGACAGAGAATAAAGCAGCAGACAGAGGGGCCTCTCTGCTCTCCTTCACCCCCCACAACAAGCTCTCTCTCCGGGGTTTGAAACGCAGCATGTGGAGGGTGGATGGAAGAACAGAGATGAGAGAAAACTGCTAAAAAATTTCAGTATCTTCAGTAAAACAGTGACAACTTTTCCTTCTTAAAAGGTTTGTGATGGAGACAACTTTCTTTTTGCATGTGTGTGTCAAGTTCATGCAGTAACATCACTGGCTGCACAACATTACATTTAACGATCATAGTAGTCAGTTACATACATTCATCAACACTAATAGTAATTTATTCCTCATGACACACACACATGCAGGCTTAATCAGCCTCCCGCCATTCCACCCCCTTGTCGGACCTTATAACATTAGGAACTACCCAGTGGCAAATGACTTCATGACACTGTGATGCCACAGGACTTCTGCATTCATGGATTATAGCCACAATGATCCTTTTGTCTCTAATTCAACCGGACATCCTAAACTACCCACTGACATTTTGCTCACTTCTCCCTCTCCATCCTTTCCCTCTTCTTTCTCATTCCGTACTTTCTTTTCAATCGTCACGAGAGCCAACGTGTGCGAATGTCATAAATTTGTTCAAATAGAACAACAACAGCTTCTCTGTCCCCAAGAAGGTCAAAGGACTGAAGCCAAAGTTGATCTGTTTGAACCAGCCACTCTCAGACACACTTCTCATTAAATGTCACAACTGTTAAAGATTAATGGGATGTGACCTTCACTAACAAAAGTTAGATTATTTGTGTTTCCAAATTGATTCAGAATTGAATCTGACAGAGACTGTAGCATTAGCCAGCACATTTTTAGGTTTTGGCAGATTTTTGACCCATAACAGTCATCCTGTTCCAAGGAAGCTCTTTTTTGTTGTAGGCAGCATTCAAACCTTTTTTCATATTGTTATCTTACTCAGGTTTCGGTTAATCTTTCCTGTTGTGTGATGACAGTCTTTTTATAACCTAATGTCACTACATCTGTAAAGCAGTTGGTGATATTTCTGCTGTCTTGTCATTTCAGGATCTTATACTGTATTTTTGAACTTCTCTCAAGTTCGTATTTTAGCACTGGTTATTAACTGTGGAGTATTAATGAATGCACCTAAAGTAACATTTTGGTGAGATGATTATTATGGTAACTTCTCTGTAAGGAAAAGAGAGATGGCTATACACTGAGATGCATCACTGCTGAATGTAGACAGAGTGATCACTCTGGTGTCTCCTACCTTTTAAGTTTTGATTCATTGTTTCCTGAGGGCGTAGAAATAACCTTTCACTGCATCAGTTTGTGAATACATGTGTATATATCAGCTCAATCAGCATGGACAGGACACTTCCTTGTTATGCTCCCACTTTGGCTCTGTGTATTTTTATACATAGATTTCTTAGCTTCTTGTTTCTTGAAACTTGTACCATTTGATGCAGTTTACGTACTAAAATATTTTGCAATTTCAGAAAGTGTTTTGCATTTTTTCCAATCAGACTTAAAAAAAAAGAATTTTTGTGGGCTGTCTGTCTAAAAGTGTAATAGCAATTCTCTATGTCTCATCAGTGTCTGAATCTTTGGATAATATTAGTGCTGTGACTTCCTGTTTTATTCTCCATGTTCCATTTCCTTTTTTTTTGTTGCAATCTGCAGAACAAAATAACTTTATCAGACTCTGTGTCTGTCTCACAACCTGTCATATACCATCTCTTTCCTGTAATTGCCTTGGTTGGCCGCATGACTCTAACGCCATACACACAGACAAACTGAGCACCAACACACAGTACACGAGTGTCTCGATTCATATATAGATCATAGGCAGAGAATAATCAGCTCTCTCACAAGCAGCTCTGAACAGAAACAGGAAGCACATCGTTGTGAGGAGGTGAAGTCAGGAGCCTACAAGACCTGAACTATAATTCTCCTGACAGGAATTTGAAAGATCAGCACTTCTACACAGGTCTAGAAATCCTAGTGAAGTCTGTAAATTTGATTTGATAAAGCCTGCTCCATTCAGCAAATTTGGAAATTAAGAAATGAATTATATTAATTAAGAAATTGAGCAACAAAAATGTAAAGAATTATTTAAGTATTTTGTATAGTCTGTGAAGAGGTTCTTGTCATTGTCCTACACAGTTTCCTGGTTTAGCTGGCTAACAGGGCCACATATTCATCAGCATTTTGCACAGGCATCGCTTCTATTTCAGAGGCAGTAATGCAAGAATCTGAACGAGAAGCTGCTTTTAGACAGGGCTGAGAGCTGACAGAGGGTGGATGAAACTCCTTCAGACAGATGTCTGACTGGGGTTGCTCCTGCAGAGCTAAAATCAAAAGCTGGTGGTCTGCAGAGTCTAAGACAAGAGGAACCAGGCAGGTTCAGGTGTGTCCTGAAGGCAGAGCTTCCTCATGTACACTTTGTGTACTGCAGCCTTTAAATAGAATGAGGAAATGCAGCCAGGTTTTGTTTCTAATGTGTGTTATACAAAGAAGTGCAGCTGACAGGTGTGAGAGATCAGAAGCAGACTACAACATTGAAAAACTTGGTGTAATTGAAAAAGTTTCAGGTCTTGAAGTTTTAAGTACTATAAGTGGCTTTTTTTTTTTTTGGTATTTGCTGTTAAAGGAACATACTCTATTGATGTTGCAGCTCTTACAGTTATGATAAAGTTCTTTATTTCATTAACTGATTGTGGCAGATAACATGTATTTGCAGATGACAATATGAAAGTCACAAAAAGTGTAGTAGGATACTAGTATTCTTAGTCTGATCAAGTTGTTAAATGAGGTTTGCAGTTACCCGCACCAGTATTTTTATTAACACTGGATTAAATGACTGTGTAACATGAAACATGTGACTTTGATGAACACACTTCCTCTCAGCTCTGCAGTGTTTTGGTGTCTTTCAGCTCATTGTTTTGGTTTAGGACTCCTGACCTTACTGTCATAGTTCAGTCTGACCCCTCCTCCGAACCACAGGCAGACAAAGCAGCTAGCTGGTGAACACAGTGGAGCAGGTTAGCAGCTAACGAGTCAGATTTTTCACTCAGGAGCTGAAACATTTTAAACTCACTTCATAAACTGTGCAAACCCTGTGCAAATCTGCATGTATCACAGTGATCCTTAACGTTGTATGGAAGTGCACATCACTAAAATTTGCACTGCCTCTGAACCTACAGTAACAACGTGAAGGCTTTTAATCTCCTAAAAATTCTGGAGATGTACAAACAGCCTAGCCTCCCAAAAAGCACCTGCTGGTGTAATGCCTAGTTTCAGTGCCACTTGTTGTTCTCTTTCAGTAAGTCTGACATGACCTTAAAAAGAGAAACAAGCAAAAGCAAGAGACCTTCATAGGAAGAAGTCACGTAGTGTTGAAGATAAACAGAGTAGGAAACAGACAGGCTGTGCTTACAACATTAATAGAAGATTGTGTCATGTCTGCATGTTGAAGTGTAGAGACCACAATCCTGCAAACAATTCTGTCTGACAAAAGTCGGATAGTCATACAACTAAAAACAGCATGCAGACAAACACACATTTGCACATGCAAATTAAGTTGTCTATCAAATTAAAGTCAGTGTATGTTTCTGTAATGGTTTTCCTCTCCTTCTTCAAAATGTATAGATAGCTTCACTTTTTAATCCACTGTTACTTTTTTAATACTTTCTGTCTTGAGTTCTCAGCAAATCATTAAAGGGCTTCATTGTGACTTGGCATTTCTCCACAGCCTGAGAACACTGACAGAACTTGATCTAAAACTGTGAAGTGAGGTCTCTGATATGCTTTCAATGTGAGGCTACCAACCTTGAGCACACACATATAATTACTCAGGAATCCTCCCAAGGTGATATGGCAGTAGTGGTGCACTGCATTCAAATGCTTCACATACTGACATACCCATCCTGATATATCATAAGCTGAACAAACTAGACAACAGCAGGGCAGGCCTTTTTGTACATTTTCTCACACACATGCTCGCCTGTAGCTGCCACGCACACATCTCATTAGTGATCAGGCAGTCAGTTGAGCTGTACTGCAGATATGTGACAGGTCAGATCAGATGAGGAGAGATGTGAGGAAGGAAATAGAGGAGGTGACAGAAAGCACAGTGGAAAATTAGTTTTATAAAGTTCAATTAAGTCAATATGCTGTATGATTAATTCATACTCAAGGTATTTAAATTGCAGTATCTCCTGAAGTTGCATTTATAATTATGAGACACAAGAACCCTGCCCTGAAGCCCAGATCATTTCTGTCTGAATTAGTGTTGCTTTGACCCATCTGTTAGGCAAAGCTAGACTAGCTTTTTTTCCTGTTTCCTCTATTTATGCTATGTTGATCAGTTGCTGGCAGTAACTTCATGTGGTATCATCATGTGGTATCGTGGTATCATCAAGGTGTCACTCTCACAACCATTTAAAGTTCAGTGCAGTTTACTGCATGGCCAGAATTTGAGCAGAGTCCGCTATGCACACAAACACACACAGGCCGGCTGTAAATGTGTAAACAACTTGTTTTGGATGTTCCAACACAGAAGTTGAAATGTAAAGAAGCATAAAAACAGCACCATGTACTGTGCTGACTGTGTGTATGTGTGCGTCTGTGCCTTTTCTTTCCAATGAGTTCAGAGTTCCAGGGTTTAATGAGAAACACAGAAGTTTGTTGTTGCTCTTTTTTTCTGTTTTTCCTCCTATACTCTGTCTGAAAGGATGGGATGTAATCCAGTTACTTTTGGAGAGGTTTCCTGTCTCCAGCAGCAGGTGGAGAAATAAAGACAGAAAATTTTAGAGGGATGATGTGGAAAACGTCTGGGAGCAGGGAACAGTCTGTACCTGTTTGTAAGCCAACCAGACAGAGACAGGCTCATCTAGCCAGCATTCATCTTTTCTTTCTCTTTCTCCTTCTCCAAGTCCCTTTCTTTTCTTTTTCGTCATCCTTAGCTCAGGATAAACACCCACATTCCCCTTTCTCTGCAGGACTCTTCAACATGCCAATTAGCTGTTTTTCCTTCTGCCGTCCCATTTCTCCCTCTTTCCATCTTGTATTCCTGCCCTCCTCTTACGGTATCTCTCCGTAGTTGAAATGCACAGCGTGTCTGACACAAACCAGCCACCATTAACTGTCACCACAGCAACCAATCAACAGCATTAATGCTTACAAGGAGAAAGGAAATAAGAAAGAAGGTCTTTCTGTTTTTTTTTAAGCTTTAGCGGTGTGATTAAGTGGTTGGAAACCAGCTGAGGCAGCAAAAACAGAGCATGGCAGAGGGAGAGAAGTGCAGGATGAGGTCAGACTGTTTCACTGTCCTATTTAGTGCAGAACAGAAAGTCTTTGTAAAATCTGAGTGTATGATTGGCTCGCAATGGGCCAAGCACAGGGGGGAAGTAGTCATGCAGTAATCAGGGGAGTTCTCCTGTTTACAGATCCATTATGGAGCAATGGTTTGGTTTTTCTGAGCCATTTTTATTATTAGTCATATTTACAGACAGCACAGCTGTTTTTGACACATATACACACACACACACACACTGACACATTGCAGGGGACTAATGTGATATTTAGTCTGTTCATAGAAATATAAAAGGTTCAAATAATATTGTTTTTTGCAGGAAATTGCCACATGAAGACGGTGACCCTATGATGACCCATTTATTTCGGTTTCTAAGACTCAAACAAGGGTCTTAGAAGTCCCACTTTTCATGAATCCTCCAAAACAATACAACATTTTTCAGTTAGTGGATCCTAACATGAAACCATGTCACACATTAGTGTCCTAGGCTGGAAAATGTTGTAAATGTCACTCTTTTTGTGGGATTTACAAAACTAATCAGTCCAGAAAACACACATAGAACATGTTTTACCTCTTGTTGGTTAAGTCTTCATTGTCACAATGTCTCATATTGCAGAGTAACAGAGAAGCAGCAGTAACAAAAACATTTCCTGTGACTTTATAAGCACAGCAGACATTTTATAAAAGAAGTGCCAAGCCGCCCTCTCAGCTTGTTAAAGGCTCCTTTTGGCAAATCCATCTGGTTTCTGTGTGTGTGTTTAAGTGAAGTGGCTGGCTCCAACCACACTGTGGCTTGGTACACCAGTTATGGGTTGACCGTGCAAACACTCACTCTCTCTTTCTCAAACACGCACACAGGGTGGTCCTAGAATTGTCGCAGAAAGTGCAGCCAGAGTTGTGAGCAAATCCATTCTGAATGAATCGACTGCCTCAAATAATTATTCCGGTTCATAAACAGAAGAAATGTGAAATGAGAAAATGTGCTCAGGCTTTACAAAAACTGCAACAATAAAGACATCAGCCTAAAGTTTTTTTCTTCTTTAGCATCTCTCTTTTAAAACATTTCAGTTTATGTTGAAAAATAAAGATGTCAAACATCTCCCAGGTTGTCGAAGGTGATTTCTGGAGATCTCAGCAGTCCCTGGTGGTGCTGGCTGTACCACAGATTTGCAGGCGGTGGTTTCTGTTTAGACACCTTGCTGTATATCTCCCTGCTCCCTCCTTCTCCTCCACCCCCACCCCAAATGTTGTTGTTGCTGTTGTTGTTCACGTTACTGCCAGGACCTCCGGGTTTCCCAGGGGGCAGTGGTACTGGCTCCTTGCGGCCGAAAGTACCCTTTCCCGGCTTGGGGGCAGTGACTGGTTTGGGCCACCTTGGAGTTGGAGCTGGAGGTTGTTGCATGCCACGGCTCAGGCCGAGCTGTGGAGGAGAGTGTCTGTGGGACTCTGATGGTTTTCCAAAGGAGGGGGTGCTGTAATTCCCCTCCTGTCCTGTCAGGGCTGCTATCTCTTCCTGTCTCTCCTGGTTGTGAGGCTCTAAACGGGCCTCATCATAAATACTCATCGATGAACTAGCAGGTATGCTTGCACTTCCTTTGGGACAACCTTCTGGTTCATCGTATATGTGCTCCAAAAGACGAGCAAGAGATGATGAAGCCCCCTCGGCTTTGCCTCCAGGGGGTCGCCTGTTAATGTTCACCCCTCTTCCAGCCCCTCTTCCTCCCCCTGCAGCCCCATTCAGACTCAGAGCGCTTGTTTTCTGGTTCAGCTCCTGGCTGATCCGGTCATAGATATGTGAGTACAGGTCTGGTGGCTTCCTGGGGTTGCTGCCTCCATGGTGATGATCCCCTTGGACACTGCCTCCTAAGGCCTCATCTCCGACTGGTCGGAGGCGTGGGGTGGGCACTGGAGGGGTGGATGGGCTGCTGGTTTGGTTCTGACTTTTGATGCTGTCCACTGGGTCAGAGTAGAGACAGTCAGCACTGTGCAGAGGCAGGCGGACTGAGTCCGCCGGCTCAGAATAAAGCCCAGCCAGTTCATCAGGTGAGGAAACACCTTTTGCTGATACATGTCCTCTGGGAGACCGTGGAGGTGTTCCTCCTCCCAAAACCCCCAACATGGCTGGTGGTTCTGGTAAACTTCTGCCTTTAAGTCCCACTGCTGATCCACCTCCTTGCCCTCTTCCTCCACCTCCTCCGTCTCCCCCTTCTCTTTTTCCGAGCACACCATCAGCAGAGCCTGGTTTGCTGCCACCTGAATCTCCATCTGCCTCCCGACTGCTGCAGCTGCTGCTGTCTACACTTCCTGATGTCATGCCACTGGGGTTGCGTATATGCTGTAGCGACACCGGACAGTCTGCGTCAGACATGAAGGGGCAACTTAGGTGGTGATCCTCAGCAAGAGCCTTCTGCGACTGGATAGCCTGGTCCACCAGCATGAAGATCTCGTTGCCTTGCTTGGTCTCAAAGGTGAAGTTACCCGGGC